ATGCTCTTTCTGATCGTTTCTGCCGGTCACCACGCGTTGAGATGCAGACCGTCGTTCTTAAGCATGGAATGCCATACTGTGTAGACTTGCGACCAGTCGGGATCAGCTGCGCCAATCGTGATAAGCGCAGCCACGTGAGGAGGCGAACGCGGATGATCACGAGCCTGCGTTGCCCCGATTTTTAGCTGCTGGGAAGACCTCAATCGTGGTAGCAATAAGGTATCTGCCGCCGATGAAATTTACAAGCGGAAGTCTGGGGAAAGACCCGGATGTGATCGACCAAGACCGAACGATCTAGGGCAACTGGTTTGGAAAACATCTGGTTCCTGACAATTTCGAGAGAACGACGGACTCCTGAGTTACTGATGATGTCAACGATTGTGAGCTCCGCGCAAGTCATGGGGCGGACGGGTCGAAAGCGGGCTGACAAGAAAACGGCGGGCTAGGTGAACGTGACACGGACAGCGACGGGAGTTGAGAGCGCCGGAAAGCGGAGATGATGGGGAGTGCGGTATCCAGCCTGGATGTCGAATTTGGTCACCAGTATGCATCAGTGCAAGCCGAGTACAGTCAAGAAAAAAAACAGACTCTTGACTACGAATAGAGAGTAGAGGCTACTCGGAGCGTCAACCTCAGTGAGCCTGGGCCACGACGTCGACGAGGCATCTACGAAGGCTGATAGTTCCGTGTGAGTTCCGTCCGACGTACGTGGCTTGGAAGATGGTCAGGTTACCTGGAGGACAGCACGAGATAGAGCATAGAGGAGCGAAAAGAGTTCAAAAATGGAGCGGGAATTTAGATTTCGGGAACAAGCCGGGAAAAGGTGCAGCGAAGAGATTTCGAGCCAGAGAATTGACGTCGTCACGCTCGCTGCGCGGCTGCGGAGCATGATTCATGAATCCTCGCCTATCCTTATCAGGAGAGAGAGAGTCGTACTGATCTGTTATATCCATCCTGTGGCAAGACGAACGCCGTTTGGCTCTGAGAAGCACGAGATTTCCAAGAGAATTGGACAGCTCCTGGAAGCGCATTGCGAAAAAGTGAGACCTCGAGCTTTGAGATGTGAGTGGAATTCGGACAGGAAGTCGTTTGGGCCGGCTGACGCTTGTCGAGCCTCAGCCAGAGAACATGGTGGTCGAGAACAAGGAGCTTTGATCGGATCACCGGCTATTTCGGCCGAAAAATTCCAACGCCAGATAAGCCCAAGATAAGCCTCTCGGTCAATCTCGGTCTCCTTCTTCGGAAGTTTTCCCAGCTCATCGCCGCCATCGTTGGAGAGCATTAGTTGCCATCGGATTCAATCGGACATCCCACCTTGATCCCACCTCGTGTTCAGTGGCATCCGAATCCACTGTCGTTCCAAATTTCTAGAGCACCCACTGTTCGATTCAACGGCTCGGTATCACGCAAGTACTTATCATTGTTCTCATTGTCCTTTTTTTGTAAAGCTATGGATGTTTCGACTCGGCTGGTATGATTCCTTCTTGAACGGTCGGATTGACCTTGCATAACAACATCAAGGTCCATTTCGTTGCAAACGGTCCGCATCTGCATTAGCCGTTCAGCCATGATGTCGCAGCTGGAGCCTGCTTTCCATGCCCAGAGCACCGGGAGTTATCGTCGTTTCGTTGAGCGCAGCAACGATGGTTCCCCCGGATGGTAGGACAGAGAGGCTGCTGAAGGTTGAAACGTGACGACGGTGAAAAGGCCAGTATCGTAGTTGGGTGACCTGGTATACAAAACCAGCGGAGATTTCTTCTTGAATGCCACCATGCCGAATTGCCTTCCGAGACCCGACCCACGCGGCGCGCCTGATCGACGGCAACCAACGGCTATCACAAGCGTGTCACAGCGTGACCCTCTCTTTCACTAACCACCACCATCTCGAACACATTCGAAGAATTGGGCGTGATTCAAGATGCTGAGCCGCTATGCTGGCTTCTGGTACAATCCCAGAGCTCACAAACTGTGGCTGGTTGGCTACGGAACATTGCTTGCCGGGTACAGATACCTTTTAGTTATCGCTCCCGCCGCGCCGACTCAATGCAGGGGAAGCTCATGGTTTTGACTGTAACGATGACGACTGCAGCGAGTCCTCGCATTTGAATTGTTTCTGGTTCCCTGGAAATCACCTCATGCGGCGGGCCCGGGAGAGGAGATTGTGGAATGCAATTCCCAAGTTTGGACGCGATCGTCAAGGTACGAATGTTGTCGTCTCCTCTATTGAATATGTTACCTTGCATGCGTCTTCAAGGTGACCTCGGGATACTTGCCTGTGGGTGCTGTCCCAAAATTACACCCTCTCCGGAGCACACCGATACACCCAGGTATAAAAGCATCAGGAAGCCCCAGGGTCCGACATTCTTTCAGCCTTTGAAACAGTGTTTCAACTCCATTCTTTCTCTTCCCATCGATTTTTTCGCTGGTCTTTCTTTCTCGAGCTACCATGTCTTTCACCACCCTCCTTGTAACTTTCGCTATCTCTGCTGCCCTCAGCGGCGTCGTCGACGGTCAGCATTCTCTCATTTAATGATTTAGCTGAACTGAATCTTTGTCCAGGTGCTGCTATCCAACGCCGTGTGGCATGCCCCGACGGTAAAAATTCTGCCAACAACGCAGCTTGCTGCGCACTGTTCCCTGTGCTTGAAGATATCCAAACCAACATGTTTGCCGACTCTGGATGTGCTGACGCTGCTCATGCCGCTGTACGCATTCACTCGTTCTCCCTTTCATCTTCGAGCCGCTAACTTTGAAGATAGCTGCGTGTTGCCTTCCATGATGCCATCGGCTTTTCCTCAACGGACCCAAGCCAGGGGTATAGAGACTTGTCGCTTGTGGATATCACACATTGACTGGCATTTCAGGACTGGTGCCGACGGGTCCATATTTATATTCGCAGAGCAGGAGCTCGGCTACGACGCGAATCTCGGTATTGCCGATGCCTTTAACCTCGAGGCCCCATTCATCGCCAAACGTACGCGGTGCTTATAATGACATGGTCATTCACTGATTCTGACTCCCGGTGTCAGATAATATCTCTGTGGCCGACTTGTATACCTTTTCCCCTATGCATAGACCCTTTGCTGAGTGTTGTTTAGCATCCAATTTGCGGCCGCGGTTAGCTTGACGAAGTGGTAAGCTAGTTACCACACAGCTGAATGGCATATTTAAATCGATTGCAGCCCCGGGGTGTTGCAACCTCCCTTCATGTTCGGCCGTGTGGATGCGACGGCCCCGGCTCCGAATGGCACCGTTCCCGAGCCTTTCCGTGCGTATCCAAGCGTGTTCGGCTTTCGTAGCTCTGACAACTTGTACAGAAAGCGCCGCCGATATCTTGTCGCAGATGCAAGACGCCGGCCTCTCTGCCTCGGACACCGTCGCCCTCCTTGCATCGTAAGCCAATTTCTGAATACCTTCGATCCAAACTCACGTGTATACCAGCCACTCCATCGCTGGGGCCGATGACATCGATCCCAACGCTGCTGGTGTCCCCTTCGACTCGACTCCCTCCCTCTTCGACACCCAATTCTTTGTCGAAACTCTCCTCAACGGCACGGTCAGCGGGAACAACAAAGGCCAAGTCCCCTCCCCAATCCAAGGCGAGCTCCGCCTCCAATCCGACTTTGAACTCGCCCAAGACCCCGCCACGGCATGCCTCTGGCAAGCCAACGTCAACAACCAAGCATCCATGGCCCGCGCGTTCCAGCAATCCTTCGCCAAGATGCAGATTCTCGGTCAGGATGCGTCCAGCTTGGTTGACTGCTCCGATGTGATACCTGCACCGCCGGCATTGAGTGCGAGTCAACAGCAGGCGTTCTTCCCGCCTGGGTTGAGTATCAAGGACGTGCAGCAGTCGTGCCAGACTGCGGCGTTCCCTGATCTCCCCACTGCTCCGGGCGCTGCTGTGATTATCCCTTCCATGTGAGTCGCTCTCTCGTTTACTGGATGGAAGTTTGATTTGCTGTGCCTTTTAGTGTTCAGGATCCCCTTACGCAAGGCGCCTGTGACGACGATGGCACTGGCTGTTCCCTCGCTGCCTCCAATTAGTTGAACGTCAAGACGTCAAGAACGCGCTACTCCAAGCGACTTATCTATCACGCTGTAATTAGTTATGACGAATAATAAAATACACTTCATGTGTTTGCACGTCGCGGGCCAACCCGGCCAAGGTGCTTGGTTATTCCGCGGGGCGGTGTTGGGGCAGTGTCTGCCCCTCGGAGTATATAGGGTCAAGTGAGACTCTACAGCTTCGTCAGCTCCTCACCAGCCGTCATGGGCAGCTGTATTTTTTCTCCCTCCAAGGAACCTGTGGACGTGGCCAGCAAAGAACAAACCCAACGTACTGAAGACAAGGGTGCCGCCAAATCCAATGCTCCCCCGTCGTGAGTGTTCCACAACTTCTCCAAGAGTCTGTCACTGAATTCGAGCTAGTGCCCCGGCCTCTGCAGCAAAGGTCCAGCCGTACGTTTGCTCATCCTCACTCGCATGTTCCACGAAATATCATTCAACTCAATTCAGACGCTCTGCCAATGGTCCGGCGAAGAAATCCAAATCGTCGGCCGCTGGCCGTGTACCCAGTGCCCCTGCATCGCAATCTGAGACATCCCGGCAACTCTTGATGCCACTTGCAGAAATGGGACCAAGCGGCGGTTCGACGACCGATGGGCAGAGTTGTTCGCCGGCCGGTAGTGCTGACAAGGGCGGACACGCACAATACCACCACCACCATAGCCACGATACGGGGACGGCTGCTGCGACACACCATTCCGCTAGCGTTGCACATACGAGCTATTCCCACCACACACCTAGCTATGACCACGCTCCGGCTGCGAGCTACAGCTACGACACGGGCGCAAGCTATAGTTCGCCCAGTTATGATACCGGAGGAGGTGGCGGCTACACGGACTCATCTGGGGTGGTGGTGGTGGTTGTTAGTTGTACAATGTTCCGCGTAAACTTGGTTGCAGAACGGATAATGGCGACAAAACAAAACAAAAGGAAGGCCGCCCCCGGAGTCGAACCGGGGTCCCCAGAATGAAACCTGACTGTATGGAATCAGAATCTGATGTGATGACCGTTACACTAGGCAGCCACGAAGCAGGATGGACCGGCTAGATCTCCGCAGCCCGAGGAGAGTGCCTACACATAATGCACCCGCCAATACTCACACGTCAAACTTCCTTCTTTACTCCCTGTCCTCCCGAGATCTTGTCGTGGGTTACAGCCCTCCTCGCCAGCTGGAATGGCGACAGGGACGCTTGCAATGCCTAGAATACGCACCCTTTGGGTAGCCGGCCACCTAAATAGCACTCTGACCTCGAGGCTTGGAGCGGCACGCCGCACGCGGTAAGTCAAAGCTTTTGGAGTCTCTGCCCGTATGATCATGATTCTCTTCGCAGCCTCTCCGGGATCCGCTCTGCGCAGTACAAACCCACACAGGAGGAAGAATCCATGGAAACGTCCACCAGCATCTGTTGATTTGCTCCCGATGTTTCAATTGACTCCTGGGACCTGTCATCTCTCTCCGCATTTCATTACAGGCGACCGATGGGATCGACGTCGATCTTGGCAACCAACCTGCTTTCCACTCGTCCCACCGCCCCGCTTGGTGGCATACGCAGCTCTCGACAGATCCTGGCAATCCATGCCGATGAAAGCTCGAGAAACACTGCCTCCGGGCGCGCATCTGCGCGCATATCTGGCAAGTTTCTGTTTATGAAATCCCGTGACGGAGACCGATCCAAATTAGACATCTCCCGTTCCGACTGCGTCGTACATTGGTCCCGTCATGATCAGTCGTCTCTTCTTCTCCTTCCGCCCATCTGTCTTCTGGCCCCAGCGGCATGCCTTTGCCTTCCCCCCGTTCTTTCCTTTGGCTCTCGATAGCATTTCTTCAGCTATGGAGTAGCTGGCCTCTGGTAGTACTCGCACAGCCGCAATCCTTCTTCCCCCCTTCGATCCCCCTCGCCGTCCGCTCCCCGACTCTCAGTTGTTGGCTCGACACTTGGAATGGGACCAACCCCATGAATAATTGGCCAAACTTTTGGAGCGACACTCATGTATGTCGTCCGCTATCTCTGATGTTTCCCCTAATCTCTGCGCGTAGATCCTCGGGTGGGCGGGATTGATAAAGGTCGACGGGCAGACGTTTCATTGGCTCGGCGACCCCACTGTGGGGAATGCCAGCACCTGGCTGAGCACCACAATCACGCCCACACGTACCATCCTCACCGTGCAGGCGGGACCCATGATTCTCAATGTGACGTTTCTGAGCCCGGTCGAGGTGCGTCTGTTGAGTTGTGTGTTTGTGGTCAAACGCTCATTTCACAATGCCAGCCTTCAGACTGGTCGCGGCAGTCTTTTCCTTTCAGTTACATGTATGTCGACGGGCAGACGACCGACGGGAATTCGCACAATGTCCAATTGTATTCCGACATCAGCGCCGGTGCGTGGCGCGAAATCTCCGTTCTTTCGCCATCTCATCTCGTCGTCTTCCAGAATGGGTGACGGATAGCTTGACGACACCAATAACGTTCGGGACGACGATGGTGGGGAGTACTACCCAGTACCACCAAGTCCAATCCTCCACCCCGAAATCCGTCTTCCAAGACGTCGCGGAAGACGGTACGGCTTACTACGCCGTCCAATCAGTATGTCTCACTGCCTCACCACTCATTTCATCCTTTCTCAGTAGTACTCGACAGGCTCAGCCTGGGCTGAAGTCCGTTATTGGCAACGACCAGACTTTACGCCCGCAATTCGCCGCACCCGGACAGGGGTTCAACCTCGCCACAGACATCGCCGGGTCTTTCGGGACGGTACGCGATTCGGGCAGCGGCAAATTCCCCGTCTTTGCGCACGCCGTCGACCTCGGCCAGACCAACACCATATCCAGGGTGTCCTGGGCAGTGGGACTGGTCCGCGATCCGGTGGTGACCTACCTCGGCACAGAACGACGTGCATACTTTTGGTCTCAGTACCCTAATATCAGCGTTGCTGTGCGTGTTTGAATTTGTCTGCCCGTGATCCTTTGATTAATGAGGATGGGCAACAGATCGACGCGTTTGTGCAGGACTTTCCCAGCGCTCTCACGCGTGCGTTGGCGCTTGAGCAGCAGATCCTCACGGATGCTGGGGCGGTGTCGGCTGCGTACACGGATCTCGTCTCACTAGCGACGAGGCAAGTCATGGCGGGCGTGGAGATTACGCTGCCACCGCAAGGCAGTGACGGGAGTTGGAACTTTTCTGATGTGCAGGCGTTCATGAAGGATGTCGGGGCGACCCAGTGCGTCTGTTTCGTTCCTGCTTCATCTTAAATTAACTTCACTGGTTTATTTACAGGCGGGTCAACCCCACGGAGACGATATACGCTGCGCTCCCTGCGCTGTTGTACTTCAACTCGAGCCTCGCTGGGATGTTGTTGGAACCGATGCTCCGATATCAAGCCTCGGCTGATTACACGAATCCGTTTGCGACACCCGATCTAGGTACGCAAGGCACCCGTGATGGTGAGGTGCGTTCTCTGATGGTTCTGACACAGGCCTGTCGTATCCATCCGCCCCTGGTGATGCGTCCAATGACGATGTGATTTATGGTGTCGAAAGTGGGTCGCTCCCTCGTTCGATCTTGGCGAGCTTCCAATATCTCTTTTTCGCAGATTCAGGGAATATGCTCATCATGGCCTTGGCTCAAGCTCGTACCTCTGGGGATGGAACTCTGATTAAAAAATATGTGCGTTATGGAGTCCCTCGCCCCGCCCTGTACTGACCCTCATTTACTCGTCCAGTATCCTCTGCTCAAGGGCTGGGCCAACTATCTCGTGTCTAACGCTCTGATTCCCTCGACACAGCAGGTTCTTTTCCCTTTACCATCGAATGAATCTTTGATCACCTGCAGAAACCCCGCCGACGCACGGGATAGCACGCTCGCACAGAATCATGGAAACGTCACCAATTTGGCACTCAAAGGACTAATCGGCATCCAGGCCATGTTCGAGATCAGCTCTCTCGTCAGTGAGACTGCGGATGCGCAGGAGTATGCGGTATGTTTATCTCTCATCCAACCCATTATTTGCGCTGAATGACCTTGCGTTCAGGCCAATGCGACGTCGTTAATTCAATCCTGGGTCGCCATGACATCCTCTAGCGGGAACCTCTTGTCCACCTACGGTAGCTCGACGTCTGGCGGGCTCATGTACAATATGTTTGCGGACAAGTTGCTAAAGACGAATATCCTCCCGGCATCGGCTTATTCGCAGGAGTCGACCACGTTGGCCAAGACGACGCTGCAAGGTTGGGTTTCAAAGCAGTGTGTTTGGTGTAAACTAATTCGAATCCTTCAGCGACGTTTGGTTTTGTTCTCAACTCGGAGAGCGGTGGGAATACGCGTTCCGGTGAGCATGGCCGCTTCATCTCAATCTCAAGCTCAATCTAATTTCTTTTCTAGACTGGACACTCTTCAGCGCGGCCGCAGCACCTGATACAACCACACGAGATCTCCTCATAAGCGGCGTGCACAAACGAGCGTCGAACAACGTCACGCAGGGTCCCTTCTCCAACATCTACAGCGCGCAGACGGGGTTGGGTGAGGCGGCGGGGACGTATCCCAATGGGTTTGCGAGGTATGTCCCAAGTCGACTATGTTCGATGTACCGGGCTAATCGCATTCATGAAGCCCTGCTCAAGGCGCCATGTTCTCGCTCCTTTCGCTGAACGTCGCGAACAAAACCGTCGTGTTCCCTGTACCTGGCAGTGGCACCGCGCCCGGGTTGAGTTCCGGTGGTGGCGGTAACGGTGGTAGCAGCTCGTCCTCCCACCGGAGTAACACCGGTGCGATTGCAGGAGGTATCATCGCCGGCGCGTTCGCGATATTCGCGATTGGGGTCATCATCATCTTCATGCGCCGTCGGCGGCGTGCCACAGCTGCAGAGAAAGCCATATCCGCGCCACAGGCGTATAACAGCCGGCTTGGGGCTCCCGCGCTCATGTCGGAGCTATCGAGTCCCCCAGTGCAGGCCTCCGAGTTCTATCCAACCGGGCCCAACGCATCATCACCACCACCGCAGCAGCCTTATGTTCCGATGCCCGTCCGGAGCAAGGGCGCGAGGGGGGAAACGTTGCAGAGTTCTGTCATGTTGCCCGATTTGCCGGCGTCCCCACCAGCGTCGCAGGCACCAACGTGGGTGAGCGGGACTTCTGGGAGGTCAAGGGTGACTGCTTCGGCTTCGGGATCTGGGTCGGGGTCGACGTCGCCGACGACGGATTTGAGGACGGAGATGGCCTCTTTGAGGAGGGAGGTTGAGCAGTTGAGGGCGGAGAGGGATATACCGACAGAGGCGCCGCCGGAGTATCAGTAGTCTTTCTTTCCTAAGTTAAATTGGCATTTTTTTCACATTACTGCACGTACACACATAGTTTCGAATATAATTGAAGTAGTTTTTCAAGCCTCGGCCGCCTCACAAAATGCAGGTGTTCTTGGTCGGATCACTCGGACTCGGTCGGTGCTGCTTCGGCATTATCAATGAATCAGTAGTCGGGGCTCCGCATCACGGGTTTAAATTGCGGCGTCACGCGTCATCCGTGGGTAAATAGCTCTTTGTCTCTCACCAACATGTCCACACCCAAGAAAATGGAATACGGCGAGTCTCATCCTCATCTCGGAAGCCTTTCCCTCACACAAAACCAGTCCGTCTCGGTACATCGGGCTTGAAGATCTCCAAGATCATCCTCGGCTGCATGTCGTACGGGAGTCCGAATCACGGGTGGGGCGCGTGGGTGCTACCGGAGGAGGAGGCGTCAAAGCATATCAAGGCTGCGTGAGTACTGTCCGCTCTGTATCCAGACATCGCAGTACGATCGCTGCAGCTACGACGCCGGGATCAACGCTTTCGATACAGCGGAGGTGCGTGCTAGTCTCTAATGACCTTGATCGCCTTATCGAGATGGCATCTAGACATACTCCAACGGCCTCTCGGAGGAGGTCCTCGGTCGTGCTATCAAGCAGCACAATCTCCCCCGCGACGAAATCGTCGTTCTCACCAAGGTCTATTTTGGCATCTCCAAAGATTCCTCCAAATTCGAGTATGCCGCGCAAC